ATTTCTCTGGCACCTTGGGTTTTCCGCCTCGAAAGCGAACTTCGGGGCGATTCGGAAGCAGGCTCTGAATTCAGGATCAATCTCCTTGTCAATGGCCAGGTTTCTACGCGAGAACGACTCTACAATAGTCCAACTCGGACTGATACGCAATTACCCTTGAGTGCAGCAGTTGCAACCCGGGACCCTGACCTTGGTTACTTCCTATTGTCTGCCACACCATTGGAGCCACTTGCTCTAATATTCGACAGCCCTGAAGAAGACTTCGTACCGATTCCATCCGCCTCATCATCTTTTGGTCAAGATGCCGAAGTCCGACCCTTAGAGTTTTTTGAGCCCCGCCCAGTTTATCAGCCATCTCACGCATTCGACGAAAGTTCAGCCCTCCCTGGGTTTATCGAAAAAATCCGCACAAGTCGTCACAAGACGATTATGAACCAGGAGATCCGACTTTCACCACTTACTTTGCAGCTATTTACCGAGGCCCACCAAGTCCTTAGCGACGAGACACACAGACTTGGGGTTGCCGCTTCGGAAGTGTTCTTACGCTGCATAAAACTCCAAGATGAACTAAAACAGCAAATCACGAAGGCGAATGAAGTAAAGGCAAGAGTCGAAGCGATCACGTGCGAAGATCAGGCCGAGGAGGGCGAAGAACCAGAGTCAAGCAATGCCGCTATTGAGAGGCGGCTGCAAACTGCTAAAGAAAAGGGAGAGGCTCTAAGTCGACGCCTAGAAAGAATGAGAAAAATGATCAATAAGGCTACGAGTCGGGAGCTTAGCAAAAAAGAGCAGAACTGGGTCGCAGAGGTCAAGGCTCTGGATGTCGGCATCAACGAATCGGCCCAGACGGCAGACGGGCAAAACCGGGCCAAGCAATTGGTGGATAGGTATCGGAAGATCACAGTGCTAAAAGATGAGCTTATAGAACAGGCTCAAGCACTCGAAGCACCGGTTAGTGAAGAAGAGGACAGCCCAAGTACTTCAAGGGATGATCTACGTATTCCGTCAGAGCTCAGGCGCGCAAAGATCGGTCAGGTCAAGGGTCTTCTAGAGCGAGAGACAGCGCTGGTTGAGGCGGTCAAGTCGAGGCTAGAACGCTTAGCGGTGGTTGGGTAGAACACACCAGAAAACACACAAGGTTGGTATCATCCGTCTTTGTCCAGGAATGTATAATTGTAAAACAATAATCCTATTTGCGTCAGCACAGGATGATTGGTCGTCGAAATAGTGTCGTTGAACAATTTTTCAAGGTGGTCAGCGTTAACACCACCTGGTGCTTCCACATCGAATAACCTTGGCTTGCATGGTGGTTTTGTCCCTACAATCAATTACAATGCATGTGGCGTTGTGTGGCCTGTTGGTGTGGCCGATAGTGTCAGCCATCTTCCAGCCTCGTCTCTCTCATATCATTGGCCTATAACGTCTGAGTAACCCGTCTTCGTCATTGGCTTTTGCTCAGATGCACAGCAAACCATGCTTCATACAGCGTAGACTGAAAGAAGTACAACGATTCAAACACATTGGTCACCCAGGACGGACATATAAATATGCGATCCCTTCCGAAGGGATGCCTTCGCTGCTAGAATCATCGTCGCCAGTGGTGTGGGGAGACAAGATGAGTTGTGAGATTCCCAGGGGTGCTATCAGAACCCCCAATCGTTCGGTTCGCCTCACTTTGCTAAAGTTACTCCGAATGTCATCCCTCCAAGCAGGTAGGCTATACATGCACTGCAGGTTTTCCTTAACACCACACATCTAAGTTTCCATTCTGTTGAGTTCCATAGAGCCGACACCTAAATTTATCATTTCTTTTTGCTCGACGCGCGGCTCTAGGAACCATAAGCCGGAACACTCTTGGGTTACCATGACGATGGACAATTTGCAGGGAGATATAGCTGCTACATGCCGGCCGACCTGCAAACGAGCAAGCCGCACGTATCCGATGTCACTTTGAAGTATGCCGGCTGTGTGACTATCTCGCCTTTAGACCTGCCAATTTCTTTCTGTGAAAGGTCAGGCCACCTTCTATACAGGTAGGTCTTACTCGAGACAGTATTGTCAAACCCTGCCAGGATCTAGACAATGCCCGTATGCTGTGTAGTACATTGATCATTAATTTTCTTACATGCTGTCCTCGGGGCTTGAGATACGTTCCAAAGCCTGGGCATAGGTCAGTGAAACGGTTACAGGACCGCGTCACGGCTTCAAACTTTCTAACCGGCAACGCCTTACAAACAGCCTAGTTAGCCTTATTTGAACCAATGGTTACTATCAAGCTTTGACGCACAAGAGCAGCGTGGCTGCAGGAGGCCATTATCACCGTGTACCTAAATCACTATTTAAGCTTTGCCCTCCGGAGTCTCCGGCCATGAGTTTTAAAAGCACTTGTTCCAACATTCCCTCCCCAATGCTCGTCTACCTCCAAGATCCCCCCAACCCACATCACACTCATCTTCACCACCTATCGAACACCACGATGGCGCCTCAGTCACCACCCCCCTCGACTCTTGTCTTTGACAGTCGGACACAAATCATAGGTCAGTAATCCTACCTCATCTGACATAATCTCATAACCAACTCTAATTGGGCAATTCCAGACAACTGCGAGTTCCTCATCAGCAAAGACGGCGTCGTCCAAGTGATTACCAGCAACGATCCCGCCGACGGGCTCTTCAAAGCGTACGCAATAAAATGCAATGAAGATTCGCGCGAGGTCGTGCTGGTGTCAGAACCATGTGATGATGCCCAAAAGGCGGTGGAATCTCTGCACACGAAGTCCTGCCAGGCCATCCACAACTACATCACGACAAATGGCTTCTCGGCTCCCTGCGACCTCAAGTCACTAGAGCTTGACCCGGATGATGACGATACCGCCTCCGTCATCTCTGGTCACTCTGACTCATCGACTGCTGCCATTTCCGAATGGGGTAGTTCTGGCGATGAGGCTACGGTGTTACATCGCGCTTCAGCCCTCAATCTCAATGAATCGCCCAAGGACAGACAACGTCCAGCTGGCCGCCCAGGAAGCCAAGTCACGACAGCAACCAGCGTTCACGAGCCAGTGGTAGTTTCGGGCTCAAGAGCGGCGACGCGAAGCTCCCCTGACTACACGAATCCGTCGCCCCCACGCGCCCGCGCTGTCCGCCCTGCCCGGTCTCGTTCGCCCTCGTTCTTCAGACAGGCGCCACCGCCGCCACCCCCTGGACACCCTGCACATCCCAAATCGGACGGACCCCCCGCTCCTCCGCCGCCTTCGATGCGAGGCATACCCGTCCCCCCACTTCCGTACGCCTATCCGGCCAGAATGGGTGGAATGGGACCTAGCCCGCACCAGCACAGTCGTCTGCTGAATTCCACACAGCCACCGATGCACCCGATTGCCCCATCACAGCCCTTCACGTGCTATCGTCTACCCGGGATCCCTATAAATAGGGCTCCTCCTTACCCAGCGAGTTATGAGGGCAACCGACCACCAATTGCAATCGGCCCTTCCGGTCCTCATGCCGCCACCATTAACAATGGCAGCATAAAACACCCACCTCGGCCAGTATCCCTCTACCGCCCCGCCGCCCGCCGCCAGACCGTCGGCCTCATGATACACTGGGTAAACCACGGCCAGCACCGCATTATAACCCAAGTTCTACCAACCCTCCAGGCGTTGCAGGAAGCAGCCATCGCGACCGTGCGCCTGACCCCTGAGGGCTTCACTGGCGAAGATTCCAATATGAGTGAGGCTGCAGGCCCTAAAAACAGGGATGATGCTAACGCGGACCTGGTGGCACACGTGCGCAAAGGCGTGGTCGGTGGTGAGACGTACGACATGCGGGGGTTCCACGGCCAGGACCTTGCAGGTCTGTTTGAAAGCTTGAGCGTCCATGGCATGCCCACTTTCGAGGTCGTCGTCAGGCACAAACACTTCAGCGAAGGTTACGACGACGAGGATACGCCTGGTTGGGACTCCACTAACTGAACACTGATATCATTGCGGAGCTAGACTGCTCTACTGCATGGCAGGGCGGTTGGAGGTTCCAAGCGTGCAGGTAGGCAGGCCATGCGTGTTGCTATGAATACGAGTCCCAGGACATTGGTTTTCTTGGCCAGGTTACTTTGACACTCGCATATTTTGTGACTTGCCTAGGCCCAGTATCTCATACTATTGGGTGGGTGGGACACAGGCCGTGCGCAGGTAGCTCTTTGGATCGATTTTCACTAAATCTTCGTTTCCGGTTTTCTTTTCCACGTGAAGACCAACCAGGTTTTACCCCGTCTCAGCTTTGTCTGTCTACCATTCACTTGCTTCATTTTGCTACTAGGTATTAAGTAGAGTGATAATAATAAAAAAAGATCCTGATACCAACGAGGCGGGCTTTCTCCACCGTCTATGCTCGGCGAGTAACTTATGTCATGATCATGAAATATATATGCAGTTCCATGCTGCGCAGCCAGACTACCGAGTACACAGGAACCGCAGATTTGACACACCAATGATATGAGACTATTTCCTCTTTGCCTTCTATGCATTTCTTTGTACTACAATAGACCCTTGTATTTCTTGAAGCAGGATACAGCACTTGCTGCATCGTAAAATGCACTTGTGATATATGGCCTTAAACCACCTAATTAACCCGGAACGCCTTATTTCTCAGAATTCAAATCAACGTCAAGCATAGGCAGGCCTTCCCTGATTTCAGCTTGGTGTTTTTTCTTTGTTATCTCTACTTTCCATGATTTTGGTTACCTCGTTCGCCTTACTTTGTTAGTTTACGAGGTAAGTGATCGACAAATGCGATTCAATAAGAACTAGCAAACTGGGATCAAGGGTGTTTTGACGTCTTTAGACTATTAGTTCCCACCACAACGAACCAGTCAAATATCAGTCCCTTGCCTATATTGGGTAGGTGGTCTCCCAATCAGGGGCCACGGCTCCAGCTTTTTTTCCCCCCCATCGTGAGTCAAAAGACGGCTCGCGTAGCGGACAACCCTATCTACCTCTTAACCTCGCCCGGTTAGCTCAATCGGTAGAGCGTGAGACTCTTAATCTCAAGGTTGCGGGTGAGTAGCCTCGAATTCGGGCAATTGGAATATGGATTCAAAATACTAATATAGTGCGCTTAGGTTCGACCCCCGCATCGGGCTCAATTCCTGATGCCTTCTAGATTCACTAGAAGTAGCAACCCGTCTTTTTGGGGGAGGGGAGTATTAATTCTTTTTAGCTTTACTCTTTTACCTCTTTATTTGCTAGTTTTAGTTTCAGACTATGAGGGGGAAATGGCAAAACTAAACGTATAGATATGAAAAGATAATGATAATCACAGCCCTATCAAATCCAATATAAAGCTCTGCCGAGGCTACAACCATTGCAGGCTCTATCCGTGTATGTGTAGCCCTATTTTTCATCTATATCGATGGCCAAATAAGTACGTACGTAGACGCGTAGGATTGGGGATACAATGGTGCTTATGACATGACATGAAAAAGCAACATCCATGTTCCATGTTCATGCCCATGTAACTGTATTACTTGTCCTTCACGATCCAGAACACGGTAGATGGAGGTGAAGAGGTGCACGGCAGGATCACTACATACACGTTGGACTGGGAGCACGAAAGGCTCGAGCACCGGATGAACTCCCATTCGCTTCTATCCAAACATTCCAACAACAAAGGACATTAACTGCGAAGAAGGTCTGACCGTACGATCCCGCCGAAGGCTTGAATTCGCTCACGGCCTTTGCCACGTCGGTCTCGTGCGACGTTTGTCTTATAGGCTAGGATAGGGAGCGTTTCCTACCGCTAAACAGGATGAGTGGCATACTGAGGAGCGCCGCCATTGTCAGTGTATATAGTGTAGTACCAATGGGGGGTACTACTGCGTCAACCACAAGAAGGATTCCTGGGCGGTGGCACATAAACAATCGAGACAACGAAGGAGGGCCAGTCATTTTTACGTCCTGCACTACTGCCTCGTGGCCAATATTAGGGTACGTTGAGAAGATGACCGAGGCGGGCAAGCACAATGAAACGCCAGAGCACGGACAGGGAGATAGATTGACCATTCCCGTGCAAGCTTGTCCTCTCAGGAATCTGCCCCCCCGGGCTCCTGCATGGAGATTCGTCTTTGCTGCTTCCCGCACGACGGGGCGATACAGAGATGTGATATCGTATGACTACGACTACGACGGGGATCATACAATCCACGGGACTGGATATTTTGGACGTCATAGCGCGCGCATTACAGATAGGTGGCCGCTACCACTTATTCACGAGGCGTAAACACGTACCATTACATGATAGGGCGGAAGAGGGCCGCAGTAAGGGAATCTGGGTCGACCCCGATACAACGCATTTACCGAGGAGGCGGATCCAAGTGGGTATCCAAATCCAACATGGAGCAAACGGAAAGCCCAGCCAGTTTTTTCTCTGCATCTACTCCTCCTCCTCCTCCCTGGAATCGCGGGCGACCAATACTGACACATCGCTGGAAATGAATTTGATATGTCAGATCGGAACAGGTGCAGGCACTAACACCCGTTTCCCTGCATGACAAGGCCGGACCAGGCCCCATACTTGCTGCCTTTAGGAATGGGCTCCCGAGAATCAACAAACAAGAGGGGGGACATGCATGGAGGTGTCGGGCGCTGGGCCGAGAACATGAGGCTGTCGCTCTAGCACGTTGTTTATGTCCCGATTCAGGGGCATGCAGCGGGCAATGTTCCTGCCTTACGGGTGATATTCTCACACCACTCGTGCAAATTATCTAGGCACGGGTGGATCGCATGGGAATTCATAGGCTAGGCTAACGGAGAATACTAGGCGATTCTAGACCCGCGCAAAGCTGTCGCGGAGTAGAACAGTAACTAAGACGATATCAAGTTGGGCGACTTGACTATCTACAGGCGCTTACGGTTGGGGTGGTAACAAAAGCTACAGGTAAGGAGGATCGGAAAATCCATTCATGTTGAGGAAATCAGACCGCCTCCTTCGCTCGAAGGGTAACCGACCACCAAACGAGACTTTCGGAGGTTATACTAGGAATTACCTGACATCACGCCTATGTAGACTTAAGACTAAGTAAGTACGAGCAAATAAAGCATCGTGTATTTTTCGTTCACTGCTTCGCGATACTAGGTAAAGTGCTAACTGTCTTGCCTTACAGTAACAGGATCTGTCTGTATCTTCCACCCCTTCATTTTGATTTCGTCTTGCAAGTGCTAGCAGCTTATATGTTTTCCATTGTTTCCCATATCTCATTTCCTACTCTCCCGTATCCGTGGCCCAATACCCTTTCGCCGAAAGACGGCTACTATATGGTACGGTAAGACGTGGTATGGCGTGTAATTTTCTCACTTTCTTTATCGAGCTTGCTGTTGAGCAACATCAAGCGAAAACGCGAGAGGTGCTTTCCAGACCGACTGGTCAACGCGATTTTGCATGGAATATCAAGGGGGAAATGAAATAAAATCTCGGTTCATCTTTCGTTTAGTAAGTCGTAAGCTATTAGCATAGCAAATATCTATCGGATATAGTGCATTCGGACGCCTTTGGAGGTGTTAGTTAACCCTCCCCCTTTTCTTTTAGAAGGCTGACGTACCTGCTCATCACACATCCCTTTGCGGCTCGGATTCGAGTCGACGTGATGCTACTGTGCTAGCGTATAACTAGAAGAAGAGAAGAAATAAAGTGCAAAAGAAAAGGAAACTTGATATGATGAGGTAGTCCTCGTTCGACTTGCTAAGGAAAATAGGGGTTGGTGTAGTAGGTGGTTGGCCCTGAGCCGCAAAGAGACTGTTAATGGAAAGAAACATTTTTTTCTTCTTGTTTCTTGCAAAAAACTTGAAGGTAATAGCAAGTCTCGTTACTGTCGTTCACTTCCTCATTATTATTGAGCCCATTCGTTCTCGTCTTCGTTCTCGCCGCCGACCAGCAACAGTGAGATAGATGGAGAGCCCCGACTGTAAAAGCATATACAAATACGTTTGAAGCTGTATTTGCAACGTAGCCTAACGAGCTCTTCGAGGCTAGTAGTTGGGAGAATACTCGCCATACCCAAAAGGGGAGACGTCGAAGTTGGGCTGTCCTAGGAGATCACCCAAGTACGAGGAGGGGTTTTCTTCCCCTGCTGGGGCACCCGTCATCTCGGCAGGGACCGCATCAGGGAAGTACATTGGAGATGAGGGCGAAGCAGGCGTCTGAAGGACACTACCGTAGTCGAAGCCTCCATTTTCCTGGGATGGTTCGGGATACTGATATCCCATGAAGGTCGGATGCGAGACACTACTATGTACCGGCGATGTAAAGAAACTAGGAGCGTCAAGTTGCCGGTCCATCGGGTAGATGGTCTGCTGTGCCCCGGAATACTGGTAAACGGGTGAAGCCAGAACCACAGGCGTCTCAGACCCAGGGCCCATTGGGTGAATACTTTGTCTCAGCTCGGCATGGTTGAAATAGGCCGGAGAAGTTGGAGGATAAGGTGAGGCTGAAAGGGCTGGGTCAAGGTGCACATAGTAAGCTGGACTTGTCGGATGGCTGTGCATGTCCGCGCCTATGCCCTCGTAGCTCGTCATGTGCTCGTATTGAGTAGGCTGGGACGACAAGGGCCGCGGAGGTGGGAGAGGAATGGTTCTGCGCTGGTTTCGGCGACGGTGACCCGAACGGGCTGGTCTTGCTGCAACGATAGGGCGCTGAGGTGAGTGTACTTTCGGGGCCGAGCTCGAAGTGCTGTTGATATTCAGGCCCTCGCGATTTCGTTGAGCGTATGCGGAATTCGACATCCAGCCCCTTTCACTGGGAGTAGAGAATTCTGCATTCATAATCTTATGGATACGAGCAGCGCCGAGAAGATGAGCGTCTGGCAAGTGTCAAGTATTAGTCTTACAGTTCGATGGGCTGGATACTGCGAAATGATATATAATACTAATAACTGGGCGAGGGCAGCAGTTTAGTAAACAAGATATGAATTTACCTTGATTGGGGCTTGACAAGTAACGATCGAGCCAATTGGCCCGGGGCATCTCTTTGTCGGTGCTGATGCTTGTGTCCTGGCATCTCTCCCGGTGCCTGATAGTCCACTCGTAGAGGGCGTTGTTGAAATCGTTGCACAGGCGTTGGAAGGCATACTTCTTCGAGCGAGTGATTCGGAAGGGAGTTGACTGTCTTCCGATATATGCCATAAAAAGTTGGTGTTTTGTTGCAATAAAGTCCATGAGTTCACGCACGTCGGTAACTGCAATATCGTACCGATACTCACCAACGCCGTGAAGAGCCTCATTCAACTTCGTGGCAAACATCAGTGCCCAGTCTTCGTCCGAGTCTTTACCGCCCGTGCCTCCGCGGCGAGAGCGTCTTTTAGGGATCTCACGGTGCTCATGCTTGCAGATCAAGGCACACACCGTGTCAAGCTCGAATTGAGACCACTCTCGTACCTTGGGGCCTCGATCGGAGCTAAGTGCTGGTGGAGGGCTTTCTTCCCATGATCCTATGGTGTCGGAAGAGTTCTCCATGGCAAGCACCAGTGTTGCTGAGGTGTGTTAACAGTAGTGGTAGGACTGGAAGTATATGGGGTGATTAGGAACAATAAAGTGAGCTGGATATTGCTTCTATTGATATCTGCGACTTTGCTCGGAAGGAGTGCCGCAAAGACGACGCAGAAGACGCAAAGGAGATGGGTAAGGGTAAGATGATGAGATGTTGGTTGTATTTGTGAGCTGAGGAGAGGAGAAGCTCCGGAACATGCTTGTTGCTGTGACTTGCCTCTGTAGCTGAAGAAACTGCCCTGGCAAGATCGAGGTGCAGGTGCAAGGCAGGCACAGCTTCTTTGACTATGGTTGCAAATGAAAATGAGTCAGTAATTGCAGAGGTTGGTAGTAGACGAGTAGCAGGATACGGTACAGAGAAGAACCGTGTTAGGAAGGTAGGTGGTAGGTTTGTTAAAATGTATGAAGGCCTAAAGAAGGGGGAATCAAGACAGATGAGGCGACTGGGAATGGAATGAGTGCTGTATGATGCAGTTGCGAAGTTGAGGTGCTGTGTACTTTGTTAAGATGCTAGGCAGGTAGATGGCATAAGATCCCCAAATT